TCCTAATGGTAATGTTCCAGTGATATTTGTATAGTTGGACACTACAGTCCGATTTGTGTATCTGCTACTGTAAGCTCTTGAATTTTCCAACACAGGAGCTTGCTGGGCCTGAAAATCAGGTTTACTGGGAATTTAAGAAAACAAGAAAATTGTAGAATGGGCTTATGAAGGAATTAATACAGTTAATTTTATTCTGTAAGGCAACATATATGTATAGCTTGTCTATATATTTTTCTATTGTAAGCAATACAAAATCTATGCACACATTTCATAGCCACATTTGCCGTGACTTTGCAGCAGCCACCTTGATCATCACAGGAAGATGGTATCTAGCACTCCGCCCATAGCCTGCTTTCTCTTACAGGCAGAAACCAGTATTTCAGAACTTTTACTACTATAAAAGCTGTCAGGCATATGTGAATTGATAAACCATCACTTGGTTTTGGTGACAGGGCAAAGCTGAGCTGCAAAGCAGCGGCTGTGTGCTTTCAGGTGGCAATCCAGCCTTGTTTCTTTGCTCAGTTGCCTGAGTCTGGTAGCCCTTTCCTGCTGTGTCCCAGTGCTATTTCTTCTCTCTCTAGCCTCTCTCTTCTGCTGGATTCTCCCGTCCCTGCTACTCTTCTTTGTTTTCAAAATGAGATAATATTTTTCAGCAATCTTAAGCTGGAAGTAATTGCCAAGCAGGTCTTTAATCTAGGAAGAGAGGGCACAGTGAGATGCAGTGGATGAAGGCTGGAGGACCCTTTCAGAGTAGAAATATGGCACACTTGTAACATTTATGGCCCAGGGACAGGAGCCAGGCATGGGGGAGCAAAGCACCCCAGGGTGCTGCAAGACTGCATCATAGGTTCGTGTTGGTGGCCCTGAGATGGGTGCCATGCCCATGTAAAGCTGAAGTATGTTTACTACCCTATACTGAGAACCAGTTGTGAGTTGCTGAGTGCTGCCCTGATTTTGCAGCAGGAAGCGTTGGAAACAAATCCTTTCTATTTTTTACTAAATAAGCAATACCAAAGAAGAGAAAGCATGTACCAGGTTGCATAAGCAGTCTGTGTAGCAAATGGATACACTTGTATGACAGTGCTGTATCTCTCTCACACACACACGCTCATCAGCAGAGTCATTCCTAATGCATTACAGAATGTGTTTATATGTCAGCTCTTGTATTTTTAGCATTTATGTTTGCAATACTGATTTTTTGCCCTGCTGTGCAGAGGAGACATTACAAAGCAGCAGCCTTTTGGGGGTGCAGAACTATTTCCCTCTCTTCCTTCTCACATGATAGATACTCTCTTTTGAAAATAATAGCAAACAGATATTTCTTACCTCTCAAACCTACAGCTTGGGTTTTACTGTACACAGGTAACTTACAGGGAACAGAGCTAGGACTCCATACACTCCTCCAGGCTGCAATTATTTCTTTATAATTAAAAAATCACCCCCTTGCTGTTTCTCTCCTTCAGGATAATTATTTAATGTAAATGAGTCCTTTTTGCACAGACACTGCCTCTCAGGCTTTTCACCTTTGCCAGGGCTGATTAAAAAGCCTGTCTATGACTGAGAGCTCAGCTCATGTTTGGGAATAAAACTGAAATCTAATGTTGCAATTGCAGCGGCATAAAGGGCTTCTTTGTGCTCCTCCGCACATGTTTGAATGCCAAAACCTGGCTGCCCTGGAGGCTCACCCCCTCCCGGGTCAGGAGGCCAGGACGTGCCCCTCTCCTGTGGCAGACACAGTCTCTGCTGGGCACCAGCCCTACCCCATGGCACTGAGAGGAAAACCTGGTCCAGCCTGGAGCATCTGCCTGAGCTGACCACCATGTGTCTTATCTACTTTTCCCACTTAAACCAGAGGCTGGAGGAGCCGTTACCTGCTTAACTGTAAGGTTTGGTTTATTTGTTTTCCTTGTCTTGATAGCAGATTGGTGTTACAAGGGAAATCAGAGAGCTACCCTCAGGCAACATTCGATAGACATAGTGTTCACTTTAAGGACATTTAAAACACAGATTGTGTAGGAGAGGAGGTTAAATAGCAGAGCATCCCCACACCCTCATGTGTGCTGGATAATAGTAGGTATGATCATGTTTTCACAAAACCCATCGTTACCTTCTTACCACATTTCCTCCTGTGCATTGACCCCACTCCTGCGGCACTTCTGGGTTGCCTGTCTTGTAGGCAAGGAACTTTCTGATTCCCACCCTCCTTCCATGGTTTCCATTGAGTTTCCTGTAGATTGCACCGGTATTGCCAGGAGCTTGTGAAAGCTGGTTCCCTGGCTTGATTCCATCTTTGTTTTGGAAGCTCTCCATGTGGGACTGTGCCCCTGGGGACTCAGATCCCCACGACTGTGGGTGAAGAAGAGATGTAAGGGAGGGGGAAGGAATGAGGTTTCCTCTGAACCAAGATCTCCCAGATTTGGAGACTAACTCTTCATGCCACTGTACTTCAGGTAGCTCATCACAGGGTAGCCAGACACCAGACTAGTGTGTCAGTAAGGACCTTTGTGCTGCTTTCACAGGGACACTGTCCTGGTGATGCCAACAGAAGGCTGGACCACAGAGATGTAAGACCCGGAATGACAGAAATGCAGAGGCAGAAAGACTTAAAGGGATGTTACCCTTGTCTCAACTGGAGTCAAGCCTAGGTTCATAATTTGGGTTGTTTTGTTTAAATGGGATTATAGTATTAAGAGGTGACTTGTCTCATTCACCCTGATGTCCTCATCATGTACCAAGTTTCCTGTGGACACTTTGAACGGCTGTCTGTGTAAACACAAGTAACAGCATACATCAGTCTCATGTGGGAAAGTAGCCCTGTAAAAGAAGAGGAACAAAAGGACACTATTTCCATTTCTCAATGCTCAGACAACAGTTGCTATGTAGGGACTTCCACGATTAGATTTTGTAGGCAAAAAACCCAAGAGAAGATAAGAGCTTTTCCTTTTTTTTCCAGAATTCCATGTCACAAGACTTTCTTACCAGGAAACAGATTTTAACTGTCCTGTGCCAGAGGAGGGTCTCAGAGGGAGGCTGTAACCAGAGATCTTGTCTGTGAGCAAATGGATGCATTTGGGAAACCTGAGCTGTCCTTATGTTGGGACACTTTTACCACGGAGATGAAATTTCTGAACTTATTGAATTTATGATGGGGCATACACATGTAATTCAGTGAGCATTTGAACAAAAATTCATTATGCAGGGATCATTTGTAATCCAGTTACCTTTTGGAAGTCTTTTGCATTTTACATATCCTGTACTCTGGATGAACTCTAATTCAAGTTAATGAAGGTGAAACTACCATAATTACTTCAAATTGGGCCACAGGTATTAACTAATTAGTTGGTATGATTGCTCAAATTCAAAGGCTTTTAAGGACTATGGAATTTGGAAAGGGCTTTAGCAAAATTTAACCATGTGTTAAGTGCACAAACAATAAGGGACACTCCTTGCAATTTCACTAGGTACATTTTCTCAGCCTGGGGTTCAGGCAGACAAGCGAACAGGAGCCTCTTCAGTACCACTGTAGCATCATCAGCCGAGAAGTGCAGTCTTCAAAGCCCTTGCTAAAATGTTAATTGATCATAGAGGTGCCTATAATTACAAGGTACTCAGTGTAGTGCCTGCACGGATGTGTGCCAGCAGTGGCATGTCCCCAGCCAGCTGGACCCAAGCCAGCTCTGACCCATGACCTGCCCAGCCGTATGAGTACAATCCTGTGCTGGAACCAGTGGTGCTTCTCATGTCCCTGTGTAACAACAGCTGATGCTGGTCCCTGGAAGGGATGGGGTAAAGAGCTGCCCACTGTTGGGCCATGGTCTTGCTGGGGAATCTAGCTTGTACTGTCCTACCATACATCCTAGGTACTTCTCCACCTATATATTCCTTAAAGATCCTGCTTGCTGTTTAGGCTTATGACATTGCCTGGTAAAATGAACATCTTCAATTTATGGAAATACATTAGTCTTTCTGTAAAATTTACTGCGCCCATTAAATTATCCTTGGACTTCTGAGCTGTGTTCTACTTCATTAGTGAGTATGTATGGCATTCAGTTGACTCCTGACTGTCAAAGTGTAGGCTGCATAATGCAAAAATTGGTGGTGACCTATTTGCGATCTGCTTTTTACTAATGTCCTTGAAGAATTTCCTAAAACGTGAATGTCTAGGGAATGTTCCCGGCAGAAAGCGAATTCACTGAGTATTTGGGGAAGAGAAGACGAAGAAGACATAACAACAAAAATGATTCCAGCTGCTAGTCTGAGTGAAACATTTAGTGCTTTAAAACACTTTGTGTTTTAATTATCTGCCTGGCTTTTAAACTTTTCAGGAGATGACTGGAATTGTAGCACACCAGCAGATGGGGATTAACTAATTCTGTATGCAGAAGAGAGCGTCACCTTCTTGCAACTTAAGCTGTCATGCTGTGAACAGTTAGGGTCCAGTTTCTCAAGCTGGTATACAAGTCAATATGCACATATGCTATTGGGTGAGTTTCCAAAGCACCTTGGTACGCACACTGTTAAAATCCTTTTGGATTCAGCAGGAGAAAAATCATATGTTCACAAAAGGACTTGTGTATCTGTGACTATCTTCACAAGGGGACTGTCTTCTTTATTTCATTTTACACAATCAAGTTATTTTCTTGCTTTTTTTTTTGCCTTGCTTCATCACCTTCCCGGACCCATCTGCCCAGCGCTCTTGCTTCACAGGAAGGGATGGGAAGGAGTGTTTTCCCCAGGGTCTATGAATATTCTAGCTCCAAGGCCAAAAGCTAGAGGTTACCACATCTTTTGACGTTGATTTCTGAGGCAGCATTTTTATTAGTCATTTGGTCATACACTTGATTTCCATAGAAGTTCTTTTATAAACAAATAGACAAAATATGTTGTAGAAACATTGCTGAAAGATTGCTGTTTTTATTAATTTATTTTCCCCTTTGTCTTTCTAACACCCTTTAAATCACTCTGAGTTCAACAAGACTACTAATGTGCTCTGTTTACAGATGAAACAGAGACTTGGCCTTCCATACCCCACGGGACAGCACGTTCCTCCTCAGAAAGGGGTTGTCATTGTGGCTTAGTGGTTCATGGGGTGCTACATCAGCGGAAGCGGAAGGAGGCACCCCTTGCCTTTTAGCATCTTTGCAGGTAGTTATATGTTGTCTGCTTAGGATCCCATTTTGAGGTGCTAAACACTTTTCCTAGGTTATGTGTGAGCATTTGGTGAGGGAACACTGGAACAGGCTGCCCAGGGAGGTTGTGGAGTCTCCTTCCCTGGAGACATTCAAAACCCGCCTGGACACGTTCCTGTGTAACATTATCTAGGTGTTCCTGCTCCGGCAGGGGGATTGGACTAGATGATCTTTTGAGGTCCCTTCCAATCTCTAGCATACTGTGATACTGTGATACTGTGATTTGCTCTTAACCTTAGTCTGTGGACTCCTGTAAAGCTGAGCATTTCCTTGCTTGGCACAGGGATACAACATTTAAGTTTGTGAGAGTCTGGCAGGAGTCTTAGTAACAACGAAATTGCATGGAAAATCCCACAAGGCTTTTCCATGGCTTTAGGTCCTTAATTCCCTAGCTATAGCTTTTCCTCAGGTACAATGACAGCTTTGTGTATCTTCTCCAAGCTCAGTGACACAAATGCTTAATACAATGCTGCTTCCTAAGTCTAGAAGACTTAAAGTATTTCATGCTGATATTTTGTCTATGGAGGCTGGCACTTGGCAAACAGGATAGCTGGTGTGTATATACATATATAGGATGTGCTTTGGCAATCCTCCTCATCCATCATCTTTCCTTGATACTTGGAAACTCTTATGACTCGTATTAGTTAGATCCATGAAAAACAAATATGCACTCCTTACTGTGATTTTTTCAAGCATGGCTTTTGTCTGTCCATTACAGTTAACTTTTCCTGTTTGGCTGACTTCTTCTATAAAAATAGATCTGAGGCACAGCTGATCAGATGAAAGCTGTTGGAAATGATCCCCTTTGATTAATTAGTTGGCCGTTTCCTAGCAGTGTTTTTAATCTTACATAGTCAGTGGCAGAACAAATTGTGGTGTAACTTAATACATGTAATTATATTCTGCATAGATTGTGCTTCTTCAAACAGGCTCATAGTGAAAAACAAAGGTATGTCATAATCGATCAGGTTTTAATCCTTCTACACTGTGACCTTGTAAATAGACTGTTAGTATACATTCATTACAACATCTGAGAATGCTTCACAAAATCAATTTTAATATTAATTATTTAGGTGGCTCACTAGAAGGAAATCTTCAGGGGTGATGAATAACATTAATGCAGTCATCAGTTCTGATCGATTTCTTCTCAGCTGACAAAAATGAACTTTAATTGCTAGTAGCCCCAAGCAAAGTGTTCCCAAAACAGTTAATTTGAGCTGAGTACTCAGTGATGGATGTTTAGCAAGAGTACAGATGTGGCCTTATTTTGTGCTGGTTTAGCCAGAGAGAGCAAAATGGAAGATTTTATGGATGTTATTGCACCTCCTGAAGAGGTGTCAGCTCTATCGGCTTCAAATGATCTTTCACTTAACACACTCTCCTCGTTTCCCTTTGCCAAACCTGAGCTGCGTAAATGCTTCCATAACAGTACGTGCCTCTGTCCCTTTCTAGTTCTCCACTACTACCAAGTGCAACCCCTGTGCACAGAATGAGACCTTGCAGTTCTGCATCCTTCCTGAGCCCTGTGCTGGCAGCTCAAATAACAAGGAAGCTATAGAAATGTCTCTGTTCAGTCTTCCCATCCTAAAGGCTTCCTTCAGACAAGTTGCAGAGAATTACACAGGCGAGCAAGTTTTCTTCATGAAGCCTGGGTGATGAGAAAGGAGGAGCATGCTGCTCTTTTCCTCTGGGGCAAGGTTAGCATTTACAGTGGAGGATGCCATTTACTCATGAAGAGAGTGCAGAACAGATCAACCTTTAATAAAGACCGATGTGTAGGAGGGAGCTCTCGGCAGGGCAGATCTAGCTGAAAATAGGTTTGTGTCCCTCCCCAGCGAGCTTCAGTTGCAAAAAGCCAGTCTGCTGTTTCTCTGCAGGTACCGTGTGTTGAACAGGGACCCCCTCCAACTGGACCTCAGCCTATGCAAGGGATGCGCCTCTCTGGGATTTGGATTGGGTTCCACAGTGCTAAATTCAGACTTTGCTCTGCTTTCCCGCACTTGATTTCATAGCCCTGCAGACATGATTCTCCAAAGTGCAAGAAAGGACACATCCCCTCATTCAGATGTCTTTACTGCAGAGCTCACGGATGCCTCTCCCAGCCTGGATGAGCATTTACCAGGGGAAGCAGGTGAGGGAGCTGAAAAATTGCAGCTGTTTCTTCTCGCTCTTGTAAGCAACCCCAGTGCTAATTGGCATCCCTGTCTTTGCTGGTGAGTGATGCAATGTGCACCCCAAGAACAGAAGCATCTGCTTCCGTTCCAGGCAACAAGGTCTTCTGCACAGGAGAACATGGTAATAATTTATGTGCATATAAATGAAATGATACACTTCAAAATCTACCAAAATAAGTGGAGTTTTCTTTTTTTCTTCTTAAAAAAAACCCAAAACATTGTAGATCAAAGCTTAATTAATTTGTGAAATCCTGTGGCTTGCATGTGTAGACACATTTCGATGATCATATTATTCCCTTCTGGCCATATAATCTATGAGTGAGGTTTTCTGCAACGTGCTCCCCTTTCTTGATTATGCAGCTCTTTCAGAAAAGCCCTATTATTTTTTTTTCCATATAAATAGGACCGGAGGAAGATGGCTTTTGATTTATACACAAATCAATACTCCCTTCTGATTGAACTCAGTGCTATGCTGCTGTAATTATATTCATGGGTTTTGTGTAGGTGTAAGACAGGAAGCAATTATCAGCTGCAGCCATGAACGATTATAAAAGACATTTCACTTTTCTTTGGAACCATAACATTAACAACATTCTCTGTCTAACGTAAGCCCTTTTTCTCGTGACTTCTGCTAACTGCACTGTTGTTCAGCTGAGGAAAAAGTCATGGCAGATAGCTGTGATTAAATAACATCTGCATGAGTTTAGGGTGCTGCAGTGTTTGGAGCTTTGCCTTACTGAAAATCCCAATGCTTTTAATTTGTATCAAAACAGGTGATTGGTTCAAGCATCTTTTTCTATTTAGCTGAAAGTTAATCATGGTTGTAATTCATTCCTTAGTGATTCTCTGCAGTGGCAGGTGTCGCAGGAGCATGTCATCAAGGCAGTTTAACTGGGAAAAGACATGGTAAAATAAATCTGTATTTAAGGATGGTCTGAATTGCTTTAATTACCAGCACTCCATCACCAGTGGGCTCTGGAGGGTATCAGAGTGACAGAGGCATTGCTACTGTCACCTAGACGCTAATATGTGATGTCTGACATTGAAATGTATAAAAGTCACCAGGAGGCAATTGTGTGCACCCAGTTGAGGTCTTAACTTTGTCCCCAAAGTTTATCCACCAATATGAGTTTTCCCCTTGGATACTCAGTCACAGCTATCCACCTAACAAGGACTATAAGGAAGTAGTTCTTTACAGTGAGGGTGGTGAGGCACTGGCACAAATTGTCCAGAGAAGCTGTGGTTGCCCCATCCCTGGCAGTGTTCAAGGCCAGGCTGTGTAAGGCTTGGAGCAGCCTGGTCTAGTGGAAGGTGTCCCTGCTCATGACAGGGGGTTTGGAACTGGGTAAGCTTTAATGTCCCTTCCAACCCAAACCTTTCTGTGATTCCATGATACTATGATGACTAGCAAAGGCCAACTTGAGGACTAGAAAGATGGTGTTGGATGATGAAAGGACAAAAAGCCACCAGGGAGACTTTGGGGAAACATCGTTCCCTTTCAGCTCATGCCTGGAAAACAGGAGGAGAGAAAACTGTGTCAGCCCTCAAGCTGCAGAGGGTTTGTACATGCTTCAGGGAGTTTTCTGTAGTGGCAAAGTTAGACTCACCTATTACTGCTGACTGGAGCCTTGGTGTAGATCAGGCCAGCTTACTGGTCACAGCTTCAGACTTCACCAGGCCAGGGAGAAAATACCTTAGGTATCAGTGAGAGATCCTGTTGGGTATAGGGGGCCTCGGAGTTCATTGAACTGATTTGCCCCTTCTCTTGTTTTGTAAGGTGCTTTAACAGTGAAATTTTATCACAGACTTTGTATCACATCACACTTATTATATCATAGACTGAAGAGCTTCTATTTATGGCTGTCTGCCGCTTCCACCTCTTAGAGGGCCACTTCCAATCAGCTTTAAAGCTGATGTGCCTGAAGTGGGATTTTTTCTTAATGATAGTAATTAACCTCTGAATTGCCAACTTCACCCTTGCTTATTCCTTTCTGCAAATGCATTTTTGTGTGTGTGCGTAGAAATGCTGTAGAAAATGGGTACCTGTTAATGCATGCATTTGCACTTACTGCATAGCTCATTTAGGGTGTAAAGCTAGGTATATGCTTGCACTAAGGTCACACAAACATTTTTTTTTCCACTCAATCTGAGCTTTTTGCATTATAATCCCAATTCCATATTTAGGTGTCAAAGTAGGTTGTCAAAATCTTTATTATAATGATAACTATAATGTTCACAGATTGAAAAGCCAATAATTGACTTAGGGCTTAAATAAAGGCTCAGAAGGTTAACTTCTCCCCTTTTTATAAATAGCTGGGAAGAGTGATCTCTGTAGCACATACTTTAATGTTTTCTGCAGAGGTTCTATATACGTCTCTGCGCCTAAGGGGCAGATCCAACTTAACCTAAAGTCAGAGGTCACCAGCACTGCATCTGCTCACTGGAGTGCCCCATTGTATGAGCATGTTCAGCTCAGAGACGTGCATGTGCGTGCGCTGTCTTTGGCTGTTAAATTTTACAAAACACACAATATGGAGCATATGCAGAGGACGTGGCTTGGTGCTGGCAGAGGGGACTACATCTGACACCTAAGATAACATAAAGCTCATTCAAAAAAAGTTAACAAGATGAATTGTTTTATGGACAGACAAACGAAAATAGTGTGTTCATGTTGACTTGGTGCTTGGCACCTCACAAGCAGACCAGGAATGCTGTCAGTGTGCCAGGAAGCCAAGACCAGAGTGAATGTGATCTGCAGCATTCCTAAACCCCAGAAGAGCTGAGCTGGTCTTGGGGACATTAGAATCATAGAATAGTTAGGGTTGGAAAGGACCTTAAGATCATCTAGTTCCAACCCCCCTGCCATGGGCAGGAACACCTCACACTAAACCATATCACCCAAGGCTACGTCCAACCTGGTCTTGAACACTGCCACGGATGGAGCATTCACAACCTCCTTGGGCAACCCATTCCAGTGCCCCACCACCCTAACAGGAAAGAATTTCCTCCTTATATCCAATCTAAACTTCCCCTGTTTAAGTTTTAACCTGTTACCTCTTGTCCTGTCACTACAGTCCCCAATGAAGAGTCCCTCCCCAGCATCCCTATAGCCCCCCTTCAGATACTGGAAGGCTGCTATGAGGTCTCCACGCAGCCTTCTCTTCTTCAGGCTGAACAGCCCCAACTTCCTCAGCCTGTCTTCATACGGGAGGTGCTCCAGTCCCCTGATCATCCTCGTGGCCCTTCTCTGGACTTGTTCCAACAGTTCCATGTCCTTTTTATGTTGAGGACACCAGAATTGCACACAATACTCCAGGTGAGGTCTCACGAGAGCAGAGTAGAGGGGCAGGATCACCCCCTTCAACCTGCTGGTCACGCTCCTTTTGATGCAGCCCAGGATACGGTTGGCTTTCTGGGCTGCAAGTGCACACTGAAGCTGGCTCATGTTCATTTTCTCATCTACCAACACCCCCAAGTCCTTCTCCACAGGGCTGCTCTGAATCTCTTCTCTGCCCAACCTGTAGCTGTGCCTGGGATTGCTCCGACCCAGGTGTAGGACCTTGCACTTGGCATGGTTAAACTTCATGAGGTTGGCATCAGCCCACCTCACAAGCGTGTCGAGGTCCCTCTGGATGGCATTCCTTCCCTCCAGCATATCAACCGAACCACACAGCTTGGTGTCATCGGCAAACTTGATGAGGGTGCACTCAATCCCACTGTCCATGTCAGCAACGAAGATGTTGAACAAGACCGGTCCCAACACCGATCCCTGAGGGACACCACTCGTTACTGGTCTCCAGCTGGACATTGAGCCATTGACCACAACTCTTTGTGTGTGGCCATCCAGCCAGTTCTTTATCCACCAAGTGGTCCATCCATCAAATTGATGTTTCTCCAATTTGGAGACAAGGATGTTGTGTGGGACAGTGTCGAACGCTTTACACAAGTCCAGGTAGATGACATTGAGCCATATCCAGAGGGGAGGAGGAATCCCCTGGTCTTCTAGCAGATTTGCAGTGGCTGAGCTGATCAGCACTGCCAAGATAAATATGATGCTGCTGAATCCAGGTTAGCCAGCCTGTCACTGTAATAAAACACCTTGCATCTGTGCTGCTTCCACTTGGTCTGAGAGCAGCAGAGGTCATGCCTGGGAATCACTGTGAGCAGATGCTGAGGGACGCTTTGCATTGCTGTGTATTCCAAAATAACCACCATCTTTTCTTTGTACTGCAGAGCAGGCAGCAACGTTAAGAAAATAAATAAATACAGCAGAAGATAGGGTCCTGTTCTGTGAGAGCTAATCCCCCTCACCCCTCCTTTGGCTAGCTGGGCTCTTTGCCTCCTTACACTTTGGATTTACGCTGCTGGCAGGAATGTGCATTCTTCATGATTTCAAACAGCTGGATTCTGTGTTTGAGAGCTCAGGCTCTCAAAGTTCAACCCAGATTCAGGGGAAATTTACATAAACGTCAACACAAATAAATAAATAAATACATAAATAGCATGGCTTTGAAGCACACCCCATTGCTTCCCATCCCTTTCTCCTTGGAGGGACTTGCATTGCTCTCAGTGTCTGGGTATCCCCAGATTAACTACTGAAAGGCCAGAAAGGCTTGAATGCTGCACTGTTTGATTTCTGGGAAGGATCCCAACAGCTGGACTCTCCTCTGAGGGATACCGCTTTGGAAAGAGCCCCCGGCATTAGGATCCAAAGGGGGCTGGTCAGGGCTTTGTGGGTGTGAGTTGCGCATGCACAAACACAGAGGGGTATATCAGCTTGTGAGTGCATGGCCTAATAACCGGGGGTTTGCTGGTGGGTTTTTCCTTCTGTGTTTTGAGAAAGGGGAGGGGGAAGGACATATTTCTCCCCCTCACCCTTAGTTCATGCCTTTCGTCATTCATTGCAATCTTGAGCTTCCTGTATTTGGGTAAATAATGTTATCATCTGTTTCCAGAAATGGTCTGGGACAAATTCTTCTTGGAAGCCCTTCCCACGCAGTTATATTTTGGTGTCCTTTATTTCCCAGGCAGGCAGCAAGACCTCATGGTCAGGCTATATCAGTTTCCCCTCCCCACCCATCAGCTGTCTACCGCACTGAGATAGGACCACCTAATGTGATGTGTTGTAACTGCGGGATAATCGTCAGCAGTGTTTCCCATGCCATGGTTAGGAGGACACGGGTTTTCACTGACAAAGCAGGCTTTGAAAGTGGAAAACAACAGCTAAAATAAAGGTTTCTGAACTAACATCATCAAAAGCAGAGCAAAGTTAACATAAAAGCCCTCAGAATATGCTTTAAGTTGTCCCTCTGTGATACATGGGCAGTCAGTCACATGCCAAGGGCCTGACAAGTTTCTGTGCCACTGCATGAGAAACCATAACGCACTGGAGATGTTTTGCTGCAAGGAGAGGCTGCTGTCCTCGGAGGGCAAGCCTCCTCCCATCCATCTAAACACAGGTGTCTGGCAGGGGCCTGGCTGACCAGAGGGAGAGCGTAAACCCCAGCCTGAAGGGTGTAAGCGTGGTAAGAAGGATCGCTGTGAGTCAAACAGATGATTCACTCGCCTCAACCTGTGGTCACTGCCCTGGGGAGCAAGGCTGACTGCCTCCTTTGGGCAGACCATGGCACAAGGATTGGAGACACCTCACCCACTCTTGCAATACAACATATAGGCATCGGCTCTGGCCAGGGAGAGTGTGGAACTGGTTCATGGCCGAGGCCAAAGAGCAGCTTCTCATCATGGTGGTGTCAAAATGGGCCACCAGTCCATGGGCCATTCCCACCTCCTGCTGCTGGGCTCTGGCCCACCCTGCCAGGCACTGTGTTCACCTCTTCATATTCACCAGTTCCTCTCCACACAGATGATCGTAACACTGCCTGGGAAGCTGTTTGTGCTGTTCCAGTA